CTTATTTAAGTGCATTTCCCTATTCTGTACCTTCGATTTCTCTTCCTATCCTTTGCTTACTTCACGTGACTGCCACAGCAGCGACTGCTAGGGCAAGAAACTTGGGCATTAACTGGTTGGCCAGGGTGCGATACGGGTGTTTCCGTTTTAGATCCATCACTAACTGAGCACTTCATCAATTCCTGGCTCAACCATCCACTCAAGATGGAACACTCACGGGATTTTCCTATCGTTCCAGTCCCCATCTAAACTGAACTGAACAAAGTCCCTCCAGGCCAATTTTTCATGTCAAATTTAGCCACTCTCGTACAAAAGCGGTATGAGTCTCCTCGTCGAATTCATTCGGTATACATATATACATAGATTGTCGTCATCTGTGTCCAATGGCAGTTCGAATACAACATATGCACATGCGTTTATCCAAACTACAGTTTCTGTTCTACGCGGTCATTCGTTGAAGCTGGACAAACCACGGTCCGATCGGATTAGGGCGGAAATCCGGCTGTCACGCAGAGTCATCGACCGCTGGAACATGCTTCCGGAAAGTGTTATCAGGGAATCTACGGTTAAGGGGTTTAAGCGGCAACTTGACGCTCTTGGGTGGCAACACGAAACCTTTCCATTTTCCTGAGTAACTCGCATCTTCATACTTCGATTTTCTTTTCTCTACTTTTCTTTACGTATTGGTATTATTTTCTTATTTAAGTGCACTTCCCTATTCTGTACCTTCGATTTCTCTTCCTATCCTTTGCTTACTTCACGTGACTGCCACAGCAGGGACTTCTAGGACAGGAAACGTGGGCATTAACTGGTTGGCCAGGGTGCGTTACGGATGTTCCGTTTTAGATCCATCAATAACTGAGCACTTCAATTCCTGGCTCAACGATCCAGTTAAGATGGAACACTCACGGGATTTTCCTATCGTTCCAGTCCCCATCTGAACTGAACTGAACTGAAGTGTGGGCTGTCACAAACATGCACTACTATATGTACATACATACACTGCAATAGACCGCAGCATTGCTGACGATCCATCCGATGTGGTTTGTCACTTGGACAAGAAGTCCCACATCCTGTTGAACACACCAGGGAGTATTGCCGCATATCTTCACGAGCCGGACAAAGTGAAGAAAAATAAGGTGTGGAAATTCCCGAAGCCCTCTGCTAAACCCAGCGAATTGGTTGCCACAGCAACGAGAAAGATGCCCAGTTTGACAGTCGCAAATTCATCTGATGGTTGTGTACAACAGAACATTCCGAAGATGCTGACCATCTCGGTTGCCACTGAACCAGCCCGTTCTGACTAAGTATTGGTAACTACACAATGCGACACTAGGTCAACGGCCACTGATCCTGTGAGCCAAAAGAAAAAACGGACTAGGTCTGCACGTAAAACTTCGAACGGGCTTGAAGACACACGGACTAGTAGGACGCCGGCATATATCAGTTATAAACTCATCAGCACTTCATTCTGGCGAAAATTGGCAGGAGGCTGCTTATCGTGGTTTTCGCATGATGTGGGTTATCCGCCGCACTTTTGGAATCCTAACGAGCAATTTGTTTGTGCAGCTATTTTCGGCATTCATCCGACCTCACCTAGAATATTGCATCCAGGCTTGTCTACCATGTCTTATCCGAGACAAACTGGACTTGGAGAGGGTGTTACGAGTGGGCACTCGGTTAGTGCAGGGTCTACGGGGACAGACGTATCCGGAAGGCTTGCTCAGTTTGGAGATGTACTCGATGCACTACCGAAGGATAAGAGGGGACCCGATTCTCACTTATGGTATTCTGACGGGTAAGATCAACCCGGACTTGTCAGGGCTATTTAGTCTCGCTACGTTACCTAATCTCCGCGGTCACCCGCTGAAACTGCACTAACCGCGGTCTGATAGGATAAGGACGGAAACTCGTCTGTCGCGCCGAGTTATAGATCGCTGGGATTCGCTTCCAGATCACGCGGTTAGGGAACCTACGGTTAAGGGTTTTGCGCACCAGCTCGATGCGTTTGGGTGGCAACACCACACCTTTCCTTTTTCCTAACTGACTTTCACTTTTAAGTCCTTTTTAACGACTCAAATATCTTGTTATTCTATTTTCTTAGTTCTCCACTTTTTCTTTTTGCCTTTTGAGTTTACTTTTTTTCTCTTTCTAACTTCACGTAACCGACCCAGCAGGGACTTCTTTATCAGGATACGTGGGCATTAATTGATTGGACAGGGTGTGATGCGGTTTTTGTTTTAGGTCCATCAGTATTTCAAAGTCTGCCAACTCCTGGTTCAATGATCCGCTGAAGGAACACTGACGGACTAATTCTATCGCTGCCGTCCCGCTTGAGCTGATCATTTCACTTATCTTGACAGCTGCATCAGCATTGATTGGCGCATCGAAACTGGCGTCAGCTCACGCATTGCAGAAAACCAGAGCTACCTTCTTTAATCTGCGGCATCTTTGTCGACAGAAGGAAGTTTCCTTCCGTTTGTAAGGCCGGGTATACAAGGCCACAGTGTGGACCGTTCTGCTCTATGGTAGTGAGACTTGGCCCCTTCGCTCTGAGCATCTGAGGTGCCTTCAAGTCTTTGATCATCATTGTCTGCGAAGCGTTGCTGGAATCGGATGGAACCAGCGTGTCCGCAACGATGCTGTCCGTAGGCGAGTAATAGGGGGTGATAATCATGCTAGCTCCCTAGAACAACAGATAGCACTGAACAAGTTGCGTTGGCTCCGGCACGTGCTACGTATGCCTGGTCACCGCTTACCTAGGAGTGCCTTGTTTAGTCTGCCAGGTGTAGGGTGGCGCAAGGCTCGAGGTGGACAGAAGTTGACTTGGCAGCGGGAAATGAAGTTACTGACGACCAAACTGGGTGCGGTTGGTCCGTCTCGCCTTCCGGGCTGGAGTCCACGTGACTCGCCTTGTGCTTGGCTCGAGAGTTTACAGGGCATGGCTCACAGTAGACACCAGTGACGCGTCTGCTGCCGTCTCCTAATCGGATTGCCTGTTTAAAGTGTGTTTGGTGCTGAGTTATTTGTGGGGTAATGGCTGATTATGACGCGTGGCAGTGAAAGCCGCAAGGAAGCTGTCTCGCCGATGCCGCCTTATCTTTGCACGATAGCCAGCTGTTTGTGACGGAATGTTGTCTACACAAAGTGTAGGCGCCTTGACCCTGAATGTTTGCTTAGGGCATTAAGGTTTTCAGGTAACTCATCCTTTTCTCTCTTCTTATTCTTTATTTAATAGATCCTCATGGTTGTATGGCAGCGAAACATCAGTTCAAATGGCGATGATGATACTGTTTCCTTTTACGGAACCAAACATCAATGATTGAATACTCGGATCAAGATCAACAGTCGTTTTTATCTGTTAGAACATGTGGACCCCTATTCCAGTCTTAACTTGCCCCCGTAATACACATTTCCTCTGTCGTACTTCTCACTCGCTGCCTGCTCGCTATTCGACGATAACCACCTGTTCCTACTAACCACTACTGACTAAGTGGTTGTGATAACTTCATCAAACCGTCTAGAATATTTATTTTGTCTTCCAGCTCTGCGGGACTATTACGAACACTTTTACGCGTTGGACGCGGAGTTCCTTGGAAACATCGACCGGACGCACACTACACTCGGTCCCTTTATGTGCTTACCGTAATTCAATCGTGACAGCTTGATTTACAGGGCAAAGCAAAGGCGAATTATTTGCTCTAGTGACAACAAACTTCATTTGAGTGGATAGCAATTATTCATCGCAAGGCCAGATTCTCGAGATGTGTGGTCGAACGGCTTGGTAAAATACTTACAAATGCATACATCTGCAGCGCCCTTGATCCAGACACATTACCCAAGAAATGTACATTGAACATTCGCTATCAGTCTTCATCCAAAGGCAAAACGACAACAGTTGTGCCTCGTTGGAATACAACAAAGGGATCCAGCGCTTATGTTCCTTCATATAACATCGCTCCTGGATCCTATTCGTGAGTGCCCATAACTATTTTGTGTTTGTCAGTGTTATTATTTTACGAAACTTACAACGCATCATCTTAAGTCTCGAGAGCTGTGAGCCTTACATCTAGGTATTCCTACCGTCTCTGTGATCAGATCGAGAGGGGCGTATTTACTCCAGTCGATCGGCTGACACTGAACGTAGCATGCAAATATCCTATTTTGTAGCTTGATGTAAACAGCTCTGGAAGTTTAGATGGCGAGTTCATAGTGTATGCACTGTTTAATGTTATCGAATACAACAGGAGACACATATTTCGCAAGTATGCACTACCTTGCCGAGCCAGTGCTTCTGTGAATAGCAACGAAACGTTTTGGTCGAAGAATTGGACTCCTTGCTTGTTGAATAAATTATAATGGAATAGAGTTGGCCCAGTTAATCGGCAGACGTCAAGAGACTAGTTACCTTCGACAACTGGTACCTTCACAGTTTGGCTCTTCTCTGGTGGGAACATCGTGTAAAAAATGAGCGTGTTCGACGCCTCATTTATGGCACAGGAAGAATAAGTGAACCGCTCGGCACCGTTATGTCACGTACGAGTCTCCGATGGCTGGGCCGCAGGTTGCACATGTCAGCCCACCGACTCTTGTGGCGTGTTGTTTACGCGCCGTGGGTGTGGATGGAAGAAGAGGAGAGGTGGCCAAGCTGTGACTTGGTCCAGAAGAATGAAGACCCCTAGTTCGAAGTTGGCCTCAGTTGGAGCCTCTCGGCTTCCTGGTTGGTGTCTCAGAGACGATGAACACGTCTGACCGGATACACTTGTTGATATGTCTAGGAGCTGACTTCAGTTGCATTGGTGTTATGGGTTTCTTTGTCCCTTTTCCTACCGCTTAACCTTCCTCTCCAACCACGATCTTAATTCATATGCATAATATCACACTTTTTTGTGACACAATGCATTATTTTCTTTTCTAATGTATTGCGTCCTAATAGCTGTGTTTTCCACCTCTAGCTAACGTGTATAATGATGATGATGAATGGGATGGAGTTAAGCGGGACATTTTGAGTCAGGACAATATGAGTTGTGGATTAGAACGGAATACGGAATAGTTATGATCAGTAAGTGAGAATACAAAATCAATGTTTAATCTCTTATCATTTTGGTATTGCGGCACACCATCGGTTAACGTGTATTGGTGGTGATGATTGTTGTGCTAAGGAATTAGCTTGATAATCACCTAACACGCCTTCGGACATGATGGTTGCAACCACGGTAGTGCCAGCCGACACCTGCAGTGTTTCGCAGGCAGCGATGATCATAGACTTAGAGGCGCTTCAGGTCCCCAGATCGCACAAGATGTCTCACTTTCATAGAATAGAACAACCCTCACTGTGGCCTTGTAAACACGAACTTTCAGACCAAGAGGAACCTCTTTCGGACCACACAGATGTTGCATTTTCAAGAAACCCGTCCTAACTTTTACAATACGTGAACTGACTTTATTGCCTTTGGTCCCATCGCTGCTAATGCAACTACCAATGTAAGTGAATTGATCAACTGCTTCGAATTCGTCGCTGTCAAAAGTCCAGGGGTCATCAAGGGCCTGGTGGTCCTGCAGCAACTTGCACTTTGAGAGTGTGTGAAGCACATGCCAAATAATGGGACCACTTGTAAATATGTTCAGGGTTACTTGGATTGCCACAACATCGTTCGCACAATCAAGATCAAATAGCCTTTCGCCATCAACAGAAATACACGTTAACCGAGGGTGAGAAACATACCTCACCCATTGTGCCGCAATACAAAATGTAGGGTGTTAAGCACCGTAGACTTAAACGCTATAATTAATATAATGCAAATATCACATTTTTGTCCGTTGTTTAAAGGAGAAGCTAGAGGAAAGGGGAAGGACAAGAAGACAACACAAACGCCACTGAAGTCGACTCTTTGTCATGTCAGTTAGTGTATCCAACCAAACGTCTTCATCATCCTTCGGACCCTAGCCAGGTAGTCGGGAAACACCAACCGACGCCAACTTCGAAGTGAAGCACTGCATTCATCTTGATCAAGTCATCGCTTGGCCTCCCCTACTCGGCGCGCAGAGAACGCATGTCACTGGAGTCGGTGGGCTGGCATGCGCAACACGTGGCCCAGTCATGGGGGCCTGGTACGTGATATACGGGTGCTGAGAGGTTCACTCGCTCTTCCTGCACCAAATATGCAACGCCGAACATGCTCATTGCTCACTCCGTGCTCCTACCAGCTATGAGCTAAGCTAACCAGCTATAGGCGGGCGGTGCTAATAAGATACAGCCGGTGCTTTTCGCACAACTGCAACTGACGCTCGCCGTTGTCCGTACGGTTGGAGTTAAGCCATTTGCTACCTTGCTGAACTTTTGAATTACTCTGACGACCTAATTGCACATTCATATGCCCTCAGAAACAACAATATCTGAATTGGTAACTGCGAACCGCGTGCTTCACTCCTGGTAGAAGCTGGGCTTGGCAACATCGGCGCTGAAATAGGTTGTATCACAAACGGAAACTACAAACAAACGGCTTATTGTACTACTTCGAGAATCAAATTTTTTTAATGTCGTCAAACGGACTGTACACAAAAGGTGTTTATCAGAATCCAATCAGCTGAGGTTAACTCAGCCTTGAAGATGAGAAGTATACCCAGTCCGGCTTGAACCGCGATTGCTGCATCAGCGTTTCCGGATGCGTGCAACCAATAGCGAGAGGACAAACCCGGCGCAATTAATTCAACAGCCCCGTGAGGGTCATTGATCCTAGTTTTGGACGCACAACACGCGTCAATACCCAAAATATCATACATGCTTGCGAGTGCAGTCTGTTTACACATTTGCCGCAGAATCCGAACATTGACTGCCACCAGGGAAATTGAACAGTGTGGCCTTCTGAGGGGCTGATAGCGGTAAGCGTTCAGTGGGTGGCGCCGTAAGATTGCTACAAATGGTATCACTCCAGTGACAAATAAGCTAGGACAAATCCTTGGTATGTGAGTAATAATGGTCGTGGCAGACCATGTGGTGCGCTGCGGTTGGTGGTGGTTAGATCCTGACAGATGGTCTACCCACTGCTGCTACTGGTGTGTCATGGCCTCATGTTCTGGACGTCTCTTCTTGGCGACCGCTGGGTGGGAGTTGGGTTACGCCCTTCTCCTTGCTAAGATCCAGGACACCATTCCGCATGAGTCCGTGAGCTGATCATGTGCTAGACCTGCTGCTTTTCGGGTGTACGTTTAATCGACGGCTTTGGCTGAGGACCCGAGTCGTTCTCCTACCAGGTGTGGATGCCCTGCTAGTATCCTCTTCGGAGGTTAGGAATTAGTCTATATCCCTCTTCCCGTAAAACCCAGCCATGGAAGATAACAGGTCTACGGGTTATAAGCTAACAGCTCTCTTGGCGTAGTGCACGAGCGCCACACATTGTCTCTGACGGTGGGAGGGCACCTCCGGGTGCTCAATGGTTTGTTACTGCCTGCCTCAAACCAGGCAGCCCCTGGTCAAATTGGTGCTGACCCACCAAAATCCTCCTGCGTCTGGCCGTGGTCGCAAGTGCGTGTCTTACTACGGCCGCAAAACACATAGAAATTATTCCACTACCTCAAAGTCTGCGTACGACGAACCTCAAGCAGATTCCATTCTGTCTCTGCAATCGCATTCCCGTGTTGGATCTGCTCCCCACTGCCTTGTGGGTCAGGCTGTTCAGCCAAAGGCTCTGGGCGGAGTCCTTCAAGCAAATCTCCGAAGCACAACCGCCAACTCGCGTGCCATTGCCCACCAACGCACTCGTATGCCTACGCACGAAACACTCAGCATCGGGTGCTAGAACGTGCGCACAGTACTGGACCGGAACTCGAGTGAGCGCCCGGAGTGACGCACTGCACTGGTCGCGATGGAATTGGCGAGCTATGACATTGATATTGCGGCGCACAGTGAGACCCGGCTCGCTGAGCAAGGTAAGTTGCATGAAGCAGGTGCTGACTACAGCTTCTACCGGATGGGCAACGCTGCCTCAGCGCCACGTGGACATGGGTTCGGATTTGCAATATTTGATCGCCTCAGTGTGATATGCCGTCGTCTGGACGTCGCGGCAACAGTCCTTAAGCAACGAAGCAAACGTGGACGAAAAGTGTGGCCCACGATCAGTGGTCACTATGGCAGGGCAGCCATACTGTGCAACCCAGCGTTCTAAAAACGCTTTCGCGACTGTTTTTGAAGAACAATTTGGGATGGGGGCGGCCCCAGGCCATCTAGTAAATCGATCGACAAAGGTCAGTAGATCCACAGAGCCTTTCGAAGGCGGCAGTGGACCTAGGAGTTCGACCTTCACGTGGTGAAAACGTACATCTGGCGTCGGAAACGTGCCTAATGTGCTTTTCGTGTGCTTATACACCTTCGCGCGTTGACACGGAAGGCAAGCAGTTGCCCAACTACGGACGTCCCGATTAACATTGAACCAAACGAATCGTGCGGTTTTGAGTTTAGCGGATGCATGAACGCCTTGTGAGACAAGCCGTGCAACGTGTCGAACACGGTCTTCCGAAACTCGCGTAAGACGACTGGGCGCGGCGTGCCCAGAGAGAAATCGCAAAGTATAATCCCGTCTGAGGATGTCAATGGGACAGGTCGTAAGTCTAGCTCCTGTGACAGGATGCACCGGTTTCATGAATGTCGCGGTTTGCTGCTGCCCAAGCGTGGCGATCGGCGGCAAGCTCCTGGCAGCTGACACGTCCACCAGACGATTACAGTTGATTTATCCGTTTTCTGTATACACGAAACGCTGAGATTTTTCTGTATTTTCTCACCGCTTGTTTAACTTCGATACTATTAGCACGGTGGCCATTGTGTCCGCCACCTTTCGGCGATCAGATCATGTTTTGTTAATCAAATCAGACACTTCTTTCTACTGTTTATGGTTATCCTTGTTGTTGTGGCGCCATAAACCTCGACGACTAGATCCACGCTTGCTTTTCATCTACCCTTACCTTTACTGTCCCTACG